GTATGACTTAAACAGCGCTAATGCTAGAAACGAGTGTCATATTCGTAATCAGGACACCAAATAACCCTTATACAGAAGTTCACACCGAATTTGGTAGAAACAAGTGTCATGACAAGATGACGTAAACAACGTGGCGCCAACGTTGAAAATGAATTTCATTTCCGTAGTCAGGGCATCGAAGTACCTCTACATACGAAATTCCGACTACACATAAAATTTGAGATTTTGGAATAGTGCCGTTTTTGCCAACGAAATGATGAACCGTTGCGGTTGTATTTATTTCGTTCATTAGCTATCAGGTAACAGTACAAACTAAGATTTATCAGATGGACGTTTTGTTGTGGAGTCTGTAGTGCAGACATCGCTAGTCCTCGGGTGCAAAGGGATCTCGCCGTCTGTTTGGGCGTGTCTGTGGATTTGGTGTGGCCTAGCCGCACTTGATATAAGTCGTGTTGAAGAGCTATTTTTGGCGTACACATGTGGGTCGGGGGGGGGGGGGCAGTCGCCGCGCGGCGTTTGCGGCAACAGGAAATTCGTGAGCCAGGGGGAATGTAGCCAATTCAGGGGGTTGGGGGTGAGGGCAGTCACTTGACATGCGTGAGAAGCTGGAATGTTCGAGTTACACTACATCGCTGAGCCGCGCGCGGCGACTGCCCCCCCCCCCCCCGAGCCACATTGCGCCCTATTTTTAAAACTCTCCGCTAAAGATCAGCAAAACATGCTGGAAGTAGTTTATCCGCGCAATTTGTGTAAACGCGGCCGCCGCCACGTTAAATCCATAATTACCCCTAATCAGACTTAGATATATGAACTGAACCTACTAGAACCTTCTTTCTGCCAACATTTTTTCTTTTCATCTTAGAAACGTGATACATAATTGTTTGTGATCGATCGCTCAACCTCATGGCGTAGGCCATTCTAAATACGTCCATCAGTATAATCGTCAATGCTTTTCCTGTCTCTCATGGTTTGGATGTTAGTAACAAAGATGTAAGATACCAATGTTCGGGATTGTGGTTTGGTCAAGCATACTTCTATTCGGAAATTAGTGAATATGTATAGACTTATCTTTCCCAAGGAAAATAACTTGACAACACTAATTGAATACAACAAAGTAACACTAAAGTGGCTGAGCAAAAGAAATGCGGCAATATAAGTGCTACTCATAAGGCGAACTAAGGCCGATGTCAGACTTTGCGAATCGCGCGATTCGCTACTAGCGATTCGCGCGATTCGCTAGCGTCCGCGGTCGCGTTGCGGTACCAGCCAATTGAGTGATTCACTGGCCGCGACGCGACCGCAGACGCTAGCGAATCGCGCGATTCGCAAAGTCTGACATCGGCCTAAGGCAGCTCTAACTCAGAAGCTACACTCTGAATGAATAGGGTCACAGTGCGCCGTTTCGTAACTCTTGACCAAATTTTGGTGCTAACTTAGTTGGGGGGGGGCACGCGGCGGCGCGGCAGTCTGCTCACCTGGGCTCTCTCGAGCGAGACAGTGTAAACTCGAACATTCCAGCTTTTCACGCATGTCAAGTGACTGCCCCCCCCCCCACCCCCCTAGGCTGCTACACTCCCCCTGGCCCACGGATTTCCGAACATGCCAGTTAGCACCCAAAATTTTAGTTTATTTTCAGTTAATTCACTAACTTTCAACCTAACTAATGGTCATACTTCTCAACAGCCAGCAGTTGTTTTTTGAAATGCTGTTGGCATGTGTCGATCCAATTCACGAGTGATCTTTAAAGATGGCTACTATTGACCAATGATTTCTATGTGGCACAGAAGGCAGAACAATTTTGTTATTGTGGCAAGTCACAATTCTAGAAAATAGCATTGTGAATAGCTGCAACATTAGTCTAAAAAACTGGACGGGTAGTGTAATTTTGTCTGGACTGGTGTGACCGACAAAGCACTCTGTGTAGAACCTGGCTGAGGGAGTGATCATTTTGTACTCCTACTGACTAGTATAGGGCGCCATTCGTTGCGGGACCCACTGCCTTAACCCGCGGGGATCCCATGCGATCGCGGTTGAATTCGAACATTCCAGCTTCTCACGCATGTCAAGTGACTGCCCTCACCCCCCACCCCCCTAGACTGGCGACACTGCCCCTGGCTCACGGATTCCCCGCTCCACATTGAAGGGTTCACTGTAGCAGGAGGCAGTGGGACCCGTAACGAATGGCGTCCTTTACTAGTCAGTAGGAGTACAAAACGATGGCTCCCCTGGCTGAGTAGGCGGGAGCACATGGGTTGTGCCAGTAAAAGGATTTGTTAGCAGGTTCAGGTGTGCTTTTTAAGGCTGGTGTCAGAGTCCGCGATCCGTCGCAGGTTTCGCTGATTTTCGCGATTTGCGCGATTCACGCGATTTGCGCGAAACCTGCGACGGATCGCAAAAATTGCAAGTGTGTGAACATTTGAAACACTGAATATGAAACAAGTGGAATCATGAGCAGTCGTCATTCAGCCATCACTATCAAGCAGAAGTGGCGGCAGGATTGGAGAACACCTTGCAGTATTGATCGGGCACTTGTGATTTCCGTGACCCGTCGCGTGAAAATCGCGAAATCAGCGAAACCTGCGACGGATCGCGGACTCTGACACCAGCCTAACGCATTTGACCATGGTGAGACGCGGTTGCGCTATTCTCACTTTGCAGGCCACGTTGAACATTGTAAAGCGATTGCGCGTCTCACTCTTGTCATCTCTTTTTGGCGCATACTTAACTTCTTCCCCAATCATTGGTTCTTTAGATCATACATTAGTAACTACAGATGCCGTGATCCACGAAATGGTTTGGTATGCTTGAACACAGCTGCTGAACTTCAACTTTCAGGCGCTTTGAGGGTCGAAGGTAGGCAAGAATCAGCCTGCGCTGCGCGCAGTCTGAATGCGCCCTCTGAGGAAGATTCTATAGACGAGGCGCTTCAGTTTTCAGCTTTTTACGGCTTTTCCTATACTCTCCACTTCCCTGAACTGGCTTGATCCCCCCTCGTTTGCATCCCCTTGTTTTGCGCTAATGTTAGCACTATCTCGCTTACAGGGCGCCGACAGGCCGTCGCCGACTGATCCTCCCTCCCAATACTCAATTGTATTCTTGCTTCGCTGCTTCCAGTATGAGTTTCAAAAAACCTGGTGTAAATGACAATGACACCTCGGCGGCAGCGCGAGGTGCATGCGCTTCGCACATTGAGCATCGTGTGAGATTGCGCGAGGCTCATGCGAATCCATTAATTCTTTTTCGCACATGCCCTTTTTCTCTTCTTTTTTTTCCACTTTTTTTGTTTATGCTATGCATTTCACACCATAACGTGGCTGCAAGTGTATGGTTAACCTAATGGTCAAATATGCCACAATTTAGCGAAGGTTCTCCAATCGTACGAGTTCGGCGATTTGTCATTCCTCGTTTTCATTGTAATCTCATGAACATATAAATGAAAAGGAATAATAATACGGACCTATACGTATGGCAACATGTTTGTTTTATTGGAGGAACCGTGAAAACCACTTTCGAGATTCACTTCAGCATAAACCATTGAAATTTGATTTTCATTGCCATACCACGTCATTTGGATTAAACTTTACCCCCCTCCCTCCCATAGTTCACATATGTTGAAGTTTGTTGAAAACAAGTTGTCGCATTAAGTTTTACGCATTTTTAGCTCAAAATTCGCGGATGTGAAATGTGACGGCCGCGATTGCAAAATCGCCCTGGTCCTATGGTGAAAAAAAAACGCACGTTGTCGTCATTGCGTTAATCCGTGGTGTGTAAGTGGAGCTCTTAGGGCTGAAGTGGGACCATAATTTCAATGGTTTACGGATTTGTATAAAACACCATGACAGATGGCAAAGTTGTCTAAGAGTATCAATCTAATTTTCTAACTACGCGCGTTTTAACGGTTTTTGATCAAATGATTGAAATATGATACCCTGTTAATCACTGAACATCACCAAACAGTATGCTTGCCCAACTTTTATGGGCAATAGCCTCGCTTTCTGAAAATTCGGGGCTGCGAAATGCCCTCAGGGTTGAAGACAACGTGCTCCAATGCAAAGATCGCGACGCAGCCTCAGAACAATCTACACGTTCGTCAAGGCGTTCCAAGTTTTTCATTCTCGTTAGCCACTTCGTGTTGCATTCCTGCAAAGATGTCCTTGCTTCTTTCTTGGGTGTACGTTCTGAGAGAAACTTCACAGTGGCGTATCGATTTTAGCTTATCTCTCATCTTTAGGGCATTCAATAAACTCTCGTACTTACTAACCCAAGTTCGGATAATCTCACTCAAGTTAGACCTACATAGCTCATTTTGCTTTTTTATTTTGCTTTCATCGCCGCTTCCTTTGGCGAAATTTCTGAAGATCACTAATTTTTTTCAATATATAAATGCGAAGTTCTTTTCTCTCAAGAATACTGTTCGTTTTTTTTTGTTAGTAAGTTGTATTTTTGAAACAATGAACTGGAAAGCATGCCAAATTCTTCTTCATCATTTTATTTACTTTCTATTCCCTAAATAAACATTTTGCTTTCTATATACTACAACTTCGATCTTTTCCTCACATCGCTTTAGTGGACACAAGATTCCGCTTCATGTCAGTCTGTTTTTCTGTTTGCCCCTGGGAATCATGTTACGGACTACTTGATTTTTCCTCAATGGACCTGCCGCGAATGCCTAGAGCTCAGATTGTTAGAAATCGGGTAACTACCTAGAAAACGGGTAAATACCCTGGGACTAAGCCTTGGAGAAAAAAGGAACCCGCAAGAGAGCGCAGAGGCTGTTTAGAATGATTTCAGGTAGTCCATCGACCGGGAATCATGGGGATCATAGATTTCATTTTTTCCTGCTTTGTTAATTTGTAAATCATATAATATCATTTTTACATCTCTGTGTTGTTTCTATGTCTAATCCTTCGTCTAAAACAAGCAGAGTAGTTGGTGTTAGTAATCATTACTTGGCAAGGGTCCAGGTTCTTCTTTATCTTCTTGAAAACATGTTCTCCCATGGTGTATCTTCATTTGAGGTGTTGGAAAATTTATATCAACGATGCACGGACAGACTGGAATATCGTACTCGATTGGCACAATCTGCGCTCAATATTTTGCTGACGTTGCCACAAGCCTTCCATTATGTATGTTGATAGAGTTTGTCGTTAACTATTTTGAAAATTTATGCAAGTCATCTGTTTCTTTTTAAGGAGTTTGTGCAAAGGATTGAAGTGTTCTCGAAAAACCAACGTGTCGGCGCTAGGAACTATGCTATAGAGATTGTGCCTTTAATTATCAAGGGATTAGGTATTTCAACATTTTGAGCTTGACTGAATGTTATCTTAATAGCATGACTGTGGAGTTGTCGTTATGACGACAAGACAACTTCATTATTTTAACAACATGACTTTTGAGATCTTCGTGGGCCCGATCCAGGACCTATTGAGTATCCTTCTGACAACGATGTAACACGTCATGAGGTGCGGTCTGATTTGCTTCCATTTGAGTTTTTCGCTTCATTGTTTCTACTTTATTTATTCAGACAAACGGTGCAGCATCTTCATCTGAAGGTGAGCCTATGGATGTAGGCGAAGGTACTGCAAGCGATGAGGATGAGGGAGATTCTGACAACAAAAGTGGGAGTGAATCTGACGAAGCATCTGACCGAGCAGGAAGCAAAGCTAAAAATGCTAAGAATACCGCGCCTGTTGCACCGTAAGTTATTTCAAATTAGTCAACTTTCTCATGATCTTATACTGCTTGCTATTTTTCACTCTTGTGGTTTCCGTTGCAGAAGAGAGGAGCGTGTTCGGGTTCCTGTTCTGCCGGCTTTGTACAGATGTGTTATACGAAGTTGTCTTGACAAAGCATCCACTGTTCGCTTGCGAGCCATGTTTCATTTAACACCGTTACTTGAGAATGAACAGCATCGGGAGCTGCTCATTCATCATGCAAGAAAGATGGTGAGTATTTTTCTAAGGTTGCACTGTATCATCAAAATTTTTGGCTTTCAGTTTGAGGAAACTCCAAAGATATTCGTCGGGATTGTTAATGAAAAAGAAGATGAAATCGACATTGATGCGGACGAAATCAACGAGGATATGTTTTTGGACGATTCTGAGATTGTTATCGATAACATCATGCTGCACGTTATATTAACCGGAGCAAGAGATGATACGGTAAATATCGGGAGATATTTGGAGAAATAGGGAAATAATCTTTCATTACCATCTAAGGCTGGTGTTCGTAAACATGCTTTGATTGCTCTACAAACCTTTTTCCCTTTCATCACCGAGGAATCTGATGCACAGAATGCGGTGGAGTGTCTGAAGGTAGGTTGCGCACAGTTTTCTCAATTAACAACATGTCGTGCACTCAGTTTAGGAGTGCTGTTTGGATGCTTCACTTATGGTTCGGAAGCAGGCCGCCGAAGTCCTCGATTATCTACTTAGCTCTAGTTGTCGGTTCCGGTAAGGTTTCTTCTCGCTTCTACGAATTATGCCGCCTAGTCTTTTCTTCTATTGCCTTGCTATCGCAAGACGCGGGGGAATCGCGGTGCAGCAAGTCAGGGCAAGTCGCTCGTGTGAAGTGCTCAATCCTAATCTTGTTCAAGGAGTCGTTCAAACTGACGAAGTGCTAGCGACCTCACCTCTATGCTAATTCTTCGAGCATTTTGTTCTTTGTATGTTTTTGTGCAGCATGGTGCGGGAAACAGTTGTGAGAAGCGAGATGAGGATTTTCGAGAGAGAATCAGTTCCAATGTAGGCGAACCAGTAATCATCCCCTAGGGCTAAGCCTTGGATGCAAATTTCTGTAGTTAAACCATAGAAAACAAGGAAAAGTCGAAACGAAGAAGCGTAGAAACAGAACGTCTAACCATCGCGAAAAAACTGCTCTTAGGTTAGTTCAGCATGTTTTTTTTTGTAATTCTTGTCATTTTGAAAATTTCAGCAGAATTACGATTTTTTTTTGAAACTCGTGTAAGTTGTTTGTGCCGTGAGAGGTTTATTCCTTACTTGGTTAAGTTGTGTGGTAGCGCAAAGGGTGCAACCCTGGGCCTTGATGCCTTGACGGCGACGATTTTGTCGAAACGTTAGGCCGAACTAATAAATGTTCCACCTATAAACCTCGTACGGCACAAACAAACTAACACAAATAAGAACAAAGGATGCCGAGGTTACAAGAAGAAGAGAGAAGCTGGAGACTATTTTTTAAAATTTATTTTTTACAATGTTTTTGTTAGTTACCTGGAAGCTTTGTCAAAAATCATAACTTGACCGTCTTTTTTTGTTAGCGCTAAATGCCCCCCGTGTCCTGAGATAGCGCCGCTTTTATTTTATTAGAAACTCATTCTCTAAATTGTATTATAGAAGGTTGAAGACACGATACCCTTTCAATTCTCATAGCTTACCAATAAGTTTATAATCATTAATATTTTTTTGAATTTTTGACTTAGGGATTTGCTTCCAAAACACAAACCCAGATTTTGGTCCGTATTTTTTCATTCTGTAAGCATCCTTGATGGTAGGTCGATTCTTATTTCTTCTCTGGAACTCATCCTACTAACTAAAGCGCTTCGTCTGTCGTCTGTCTCTGTCGTCTGTGTCTGTCACGAAATTCCCTAGCTCCTCGGGATCCGCCTGGAGGGACCGGGTCAAGTGTGGGATGGGTGGGCAAGGTCTCACGAAATACAAAACACACATCAGCTAAGCGGAGCCCCGCCCACAGAGGGCGTGGCGTGCGTCGAAATGAATTGTACCGAAGACCAAGATTTCGATTTCAGTGACAAAACGACCTCGAAACTGGGCCAAAAAGTGGGTAAAGGTGTGCATTGGTAAGTCACATCGAAGAGGAGACCGCTCCGCTTAGCTGATGTGTGTTTTGTATTTCGTGAGACCTTGCCCACCCATTCCAACTTGCCACCCCCGGTGGGCGGGGCGTTCTCTAAAAAGCAGTGCTTTATGAAAAATTTCATAACTCGGTTGGGAGAAAGCCTACAGAGCAGAAAACAATTTGGTGTAAGGGAGCAATGTCTAAGGTGTTCCCAGCATACATGACGTGGGCGGAGGCCCGCCCACAATGGGCGGGGCGCGCTCTGAAGTGTACAGCATTTTCTACAAGTCCTCATAATTCGGGCCGGGGAAGTCTTAAAGAGCCGGAAAAAGGTGGATAGAGGTGGGTGGAGGAGTGGAGGCCAGCTGTCATGGTGGGCGGGGCTTGACCAAAGTGGGCGGAGTTTGCGACGAAAATTCATAACTCGGCTCCAAGAAGTCCCGGAGGCCGGGAAAAAGGGAGTAGAGGTTGACGAAGGAAAAAGAGGTTGAAAGCCGTCGATGATGGAGCGGATAGAATTTAGCTGAGAATTCAGATATTCGTGGTGTATCAAGCCAAATTTGAAAATTTTCGTCGCACCATCAAAATTCGCCGCAGATCTGTGTTGTGCGCGCAATGCGTGCGGCGCCAACTGGTTATTTTATATTTTACGCCTTCACCTTCGCTTTTTGTAACATAACTCTTTTGACATCGATTTTACTCACATATTGTTTCCATTTTGTCACATTTCTATAACTGCTTATGCTGTCCTCACTCACCAATGGTGCGCAGCACGATTTGCTCCCATATACAAGTACGGATTACGAAAATTCAAATGTTTCACTGTTGGCACGATCTTTAACACATTGACGACAGTGAGACGCGGTTGTGCGTCTTAATTTCACCCGATTCTGGCTAGTTTTTTTTGATTTATCTGGCATTTTTCATATTTCAGAACAGTGTATCTCATCCGAAAAAACTGTGCATCAATCACCAGTAGTGGAATTATTGAAAAAGTTTGATGATTGTGAAAAAAATAAACAAAAAGGTGCCGAGGTACACGCACAAGGGGCTGTCGTCTTTGTTGAGCTGCTTCAAGGCTCATTTTGTGATGAGCTCGCTTGAAAAAAACGCTGCTACTACTAGTAGCAGTCCAGTGCACTTTACAACTCGAGATGCGTGGCAAGGGAGCTAGAGCTTGAAATGGTTTCACACTTTGCATCATTGCGGACACTGCGAAAAAGGTCAAGACGCGCATTTGCGTATGGCGCGCCGAAATGATCGAAAGGCACCGAATTACGTAACGCACAGTCGGTGCTTGAACGATCATTTTCAATTTATTACATTCTTGATATTTTCGAGTGTTTTACGTGCCGTGCAGTTTTCGCTCGTGTTTTCCTAGCGCAGAATTTCTCCATCTTGGATGATTTGCCTTCGCGCAGTGATTTTCACCAGGGGCCTATCTACGCGATTTGATTAGAAACTCCTGAAAAACAAGAGTACAAAAAAGAAATTTTCTAATCTAGAAAAACACGATCGAAAACAACACCCCACGTAGATCATCTAAAAATACGCAAATTCGACAATACTAAAAGTGGTCGCTCGAAAGACACCGACTGTGCGTCAAGTACGCGTCATGCGGCAGTGCGTGTGTTGACGCTCATCGCTGTGTCCGCACGACACAGTATGAAAGCACCCGTAACACTTGCATCAAAACAGACTATGCATCTGTTGCGGCATGTGCGTCTTCGCGTGGTCCACCATGTTATCTCAATCCGACTCTAAGCCTTCGGCTCTGTGTGTTTTAGTTTTGTCTCGCAGACCCTGAAACAAATGGTCATTAGTTAAATGTTCTTGGTGACTTTTTCCTCTTTCTCTCGCTGGTACGCTAATTAGCTCCCACTGTTGCATTTTGAATTCCACTGACCTGCTTCTGCTTTTGGTGATTGGCTTTAACACGCTGATGACTGTGTGACGTGGCATCACGCCACACTTTCACACAGAGTAGACTAGTTTTTTCGTGTTCCTAACGGTCCGTTTATCAGGTTGGAACTATAGCATTGTAGCGCTTGCATTCGGCAAAAACTTTTGAAGAAAAACATGAAAGCAAAGCAAGCATTAAACTAATCAGTGATGTTTCTTCGTCATTATTTATGAGTTTGATTATATTTCGCAAGAAATCACCGGATTTGGAATCTAAAAAATATATTGAGCCTGGTTTTGAAGTCCTCATAAATCCCTAATTTGTACGACGTGTGTGTTGAAAATGAGCGAAAAAGGTAGGCTCGTTCGGAGTAAATCGATGAGCACGATGGATTCTGAAAAGCTCTCGTTTTAGCAGCTTTCTTGTTCATGTGGATTTTCTGCCGTCTGGATTTTCCATTCTGAGCGTATCTGAGTACGCTCACGAACTTACGACTTTGGAGAAAATCACAAACAAACTATTATAGAGCTGATGAAGTACTCCCAAATGATATACGTTGTTTCCCGGGTAATGCTTGTACTCATTGAATTTGTACGCTCAAAACGAAACACTATGATATTATGTTCCAACTCAACACTTTATTTTATCCGAAAATCAATGTTCTATGTTGTTGATGTGTTACAAAGGAATCATTGAAAAAATCGGTGTCCATTGATGAGACAATATGAAAAAAGGTACCACAATGGGGTCGTCGATAGGGTAAATAAATACAGCATCATATTGTTAGTTTCTAAAACATTATGCTTGATCTGTATTTGAGTCTCAAGCGTATATATCTTTCTTGAGAAGTTTGGCCGTTGAATACTCTTTCTGTATGCTGTTTATTGATGAGCTTTCGCTGTCTCAACCGTTTCGTCAAAATAGCAACATGTATAGCTAATAATTCCTGCTAGTGAATCCCTGTAAAACAATGCCTCAAAAGAGCGTAAATTAAACTGAGATTCTGGCTAACATTGACGACAAGAAATTATTGGCACCTCACTCCAATACGTCGCTAAGCAAATAAAAACCACTAGAAATGGGCAGAACTCCCCAACCACCCCCACCACCTCCCCTCTTACGGGAAGTGTCAGGCCGATCTCCAAAATAAACTACAGGACGAAGTTCTTGGAGGCATTGAGACTTCTAATTCAAGGGTGGATTCTAGCTAGTGGTCATTGAAGTAATCACGCACCAATAATTTCTAGTGGTGATTTTTATTGGGCTAACGGCTGCAGTGCGGTAAGATGCTCGTCACTTTTTGAGACATATTTTTGCAGAATCTTCGTTAAGAGGAAGTACTGACTACTTGACCTGTTTCATACTTGAAGGTGTGGCCGAGGCGACGCGGACGAGTCCGTTATGCTCCCACACACTTGACGCGCTCCTTGGGCACGGCCTCGACGCAATAACTCCCAGTGAGAACACTACCGACACCTCCACTTTCTCGCCGCGGCTGCGCCTTCAAGTGTAAATAAAAGCCACGCAGCCGAAAGTGTAGGCCGCTAGTTGGCGTTAAAGGTGATGTGTTGTGAGATATACCAATTGTGTTTTCCTAATAACATGTAGGTTTGACGATTCTATGAAGACAGGAAGGCTACAAGTGAACGTTACCTACTGCAAACGTGATAAGGAAAGAGCTCAGCAACGAATTTTCGTAAAAGAAGATCATAATCGTAAAGTATAAGCCAAAATAAAATAAAAAGTCGTGTCTAAATAATAACATTGTTACGTTAGTAGCGAAATTCGTGCATTTTTGTGAAATCAGCACTCTCAAATCATCATGTTTAAGAAATGTTCTCGAGGAGGGTTGGTTAGCAGCAGTCCTTCCAATGATTAACGATAGAGAGCAGAGTGTACAACAGATGATCTCCAAAATCGTCACGGTGAGTTCGATTCATAATAGAGTTGTGAGTATTATCTGTAAAGTAACGTTGTATTTGTGAGGAACATCATTGCCAAATACTAAATGAATCACGTTATTGTAGAATGACAAGACTTGTCAATTCCAATTCTTTGATTTTTTAGAAAACTGTTGTGGATCCTCTCATGCGCGACACTGATTCGACTGCTTGGAAAATGTTACACGAGATTGAATTAGAGAACAATAATAGGTAGAGCACCAAGTTCTTGTCTGTGCTAAGTTCACAGTTAAAGAAAAAGTATATGAGAAATTCTCAGGCGTCTTCTTCTTCGTGCTCTCATGCAAGAACATCAGGAAGGGAACATAAAATCTACCATTGTTGAGTGCCTTAATCGTAAGCTCGAAACGTGTCCAGCAGAGGTGGATGTGATCTGGATGCTTCTAGCAGATCTGAGCGCTATCTTCAAAGTAAGTAGAGTTCGTTTCGTTTTTAATTCGTTCGCTTCGTTTCGTTCGAATTCGTTTTCCTCTGGAATGGAAATTGTTTGCATGATTTCTGTATTGTGAAGCTTTATAGGTAAAACCAAGGAAGGCTTTGGAGGCATGGTACGCTATTGAGGACGGAGATACTAATAACAGGGTTTGTTTTTTCCTTAGCAGTAGACAGTCTTCTATCTTATTGGGTCTCAACCTTGCTTCAGGTGCGCTACGTTACGAGAGTGCTGTCGCGGTCCTATGGTGATTTGGATGCTACTGCAAAAGGAGAGCTCTGTGCTGACATCGAAACAAAGATTACGAGTTTCAGGTATTTTCCTTTATTATAATCATTCTTCCGTTTAAAAATTTGACCTATTCAAGAATCGATGCCACAAACATTTCTTCCGCATACCTTTGCGTGGCTAAACTTTTGGATGCTGTCGGCGAGGAATGCACCGGTGAGAAAAAATAAAAAAGTTTAATATTTTTTGCATAGTAGTAACCTATTTTGTGGTCCTTGTCGAAGTAACAACAAGTATCGGCGACGATCTCACCTGTTTAAAGTTCGTTCATGTAATTATTTGACGCCAACAACTAGTGATCACTCATCGCTTCAATCTATGCCGTTTGACTTCTTTATTTTGCTGCTGCTCTTCGGCTAATATGGGTTTCTTCGTATGATATATTCGGATGTCCCATTACAAAATAAGTCGATATGTTTGGGAATGCATCAGTTGTAGGTTTCAGAAGGAATGCTTAACCGGATACTCAACGAGGAATCGAAACAGATCAACGATTAAAACCAAGAATTATGCTCAACGACATTTCAAGAAGAACCTTGCAAGGAGCGCGGTAGGCAAGATCAGCGCTGTGTTTGCCCAGTCTTTGCTACTGATCGGGCACTGAGCTATTGGCTCAATAGCATCGGCAAAGACGATAGAGCTGCAAAGTTCGACCTCATCCTGGACCTCCAGTCACTTTCGATGAGGACCCTTGCGCTATGAATCGGAAGTGCATCCGGACGCTACCACCAGGAACTGTAGCAGATATCCTGGGCGCAGCCGATGCTCCACAGATCGCCACCTGGATGGAAACGGGCTGTAGCAGAATGAAGTCTTAATGGAAATGACGTACATCGACCAACCATGAGATGTCGGTCAGACTCTGCAATTGCATCGCGCGATGCAACCGCTCTGCTACCACATTCATCGGATAGCCATGATCATTCTCCATCGTACTACCCCCTCTGCAGCGCCTTTAGGCACCAGCTTCAAAAATCGTCAAGGGTTACAGCCATTCCAGGAACGATCTCTCTGAATTCTTTGAGCCCCTGTTCACTCAGGCTAGGTGAAATGCATCTGTTCGTTCCCTAGCCAGTGAGCGAGTATCAGTGATTATGATAGTGGTTATATTTTGTTGTTCAAAGAAAGCTAGAAGAGGGGAAAATGTCGAATTTAGCCAGTAATTAGACCCAACACATGTATTACTTTCATCGCGAAGTTGAATTAAACACAAAACTCTGGTGACCATCAGATTTCGGAAGTCTGATTTCATTCAAATATGTTTAATTTTAATTTAATATAATGGATTCTATAATTTTTTTCGTTGTATTTGTACTATAATTCCATAGAAGTACATCGGTTTTATTTTGCAGGTAAGAAAAAATTGGAAAAACTAGGTAAACGACTTCTCAGCCTGGGCCGTAGTCACATACGTGAATCACTACAGAAGATCGATGAGGAGTATGATTATCCCGAAAGGTAGTTCGAATTTTATACGTGTTCATAGTGGTTGTGAAGGCTGATATTTGTAGGCTGGAAGCTCGAGAAACGCTGCTCATACGAGTCATCACGACAATCGGGGAAGTTGTTCAGTTTTCGCCGAGACTAATGAATGCAGCTGTGCGGCTGTTGGATGCGCTCAAAACTATACTGTCTTCGGACATTTTCAATGAGCATGAACTCCCAGGTATATTCATATTCGGATATTCTGTAATCATTAATTTTTGCTAATTTTGGCAATCAGAACATTTGTTTCGCAACGGTTAATACGATTATCTCATACAACGGGCTGAGAATTTCTCTTTTTACTTGTTCTTTACAAGAAGCTTCGCGTGCGGTGCACCGCGGCCAAGGTAGGATCTGACAGATCTGAAGTTGCAGTCATCTTTTGAAAGAAATCATTCGAAAATGAGCTTTCACGCAAAGTGGATTATGTTTATGCAGAATCAGAATAAGATAGTGCACCATCTTGTGTTGGCGGTGGGGGAGGGGTTGGCGTGCACGCTTTTGCAGTTTTTCGTACGGCAGGTGATTAAAGGAAACGTGTCAAAACTGTTGCATTTGTCGAAGTTTTCATTTAAAGGAGGAATTCACGATTAGAATGAAGGTCGAAGAAAGGGAAACTGACCTAGTTGAGGGACCCACGGACCTCCTGAGGGTGCGAACTGACGCGCAATTCGCATGGAAAAATTTGACCTCGGCGACCTATCATGCCTCAAAGCTGGCGGGTCCGGCGATCTCCGCCCACCGATCATCTGATCACTCGCCGTAGTTCAATACGTGGCGAGTGATTAGATGAGAGAGCGTAGTGTTGAAGAGGGCACAGCGATGAGAGTCGCATCAATGCTCAAATCAACGGGCAAGGAAGGGGTCCCATTTCTCGGGTTCTGGGCCGTTTCTCATGGTTCTTCCTTCTTTCGTGTACCACTCACCATCCCTAGGTTAATTTGAAATGGGTTGCTTTTTCATCGTGAATTCGTCCTTTAAAAAAAGGCGAAGAGTCATAAACCAGTTAAGGCACGCTAACGCGCACGTGATACAATAGATTTCGGTGAAAATGGGCAGCCTGTGAAGCGTTAGGCCCAATCACTGAAGAATTCAGTGGTGAGTTGCTGCGTAAAATGGATTAGCTGTCCACTTCATAAGCTGCCTATTTTCGATAAAGCCTACCGTTTGAGGCCGATGTCAGACTTTGCGAATCGAGCGATTCGCTAGCGTCCGCGGTCGCGTCGCGGCCAGTGAATCGCTCTATTGACTGCAACGCGACCGTCGAGACTAGTGAATGGCTAGTAGTGAATCGCTCGACTCGCCAAGTCTGACTTCGTCCTGAATGCGCGGTGTAATGCAGTACTAAACTGGTGTTCGTAAACAACTACCATGCGTCGAATGTCAGGACAGTTTTAGCGGTCGAATAATATAGTTGATGCTAGGGATGTCAAAATATTATTATAGAAGATAGTCACTATCGTTTTTGCAAACATCCACCTACATCTTAAGAATTGAACAGAGTGGCGGTCGAATGAAGTTTGATGTTGACGATGACAACGCAAATGATATGAAAATGAAACTGTGTTTCTTCCCTAGAATCATGTTCACATTGAACTCTACGTTCTTACGCTGATCACTTCTATCAGCTTGTATCGGCTGTAGTCACTTTTGGTCCTTCCACCAAAAATATTCCCGTCTCAACCTTTACCTCATCACGCATTGCTGCTGTGCTATGAATTTGGTGACATTTGCTTTCTAGCGCCTTTTATTAGCCGTTAACGCTTGATATCACCTTCGCTCTACATAAGTGCTCTCTCTAACCCCCTTATATGACATGTAAGAACCAACGTCCCACCATTGCTGTGACTTGATTAACGAATTTCGTGGCACACATACAAACAGGCAGACTTAGCGTTTTACATGTAGTGGGGATAGCGTATAAGTGAAGCTTCTGGCTATCAGTAAGTTGTGGTTTTTGTCATGCTTTTTTTGTTAACTGCAATTTTTCTTTTCTTTTGTTGGCAGCAAATCCTTGATCCACTTCCCGTTCCCTCCTAGGCATCAAAGATTCAGAAATTTGCAAATCTCTACTGAGTTGCTGTGACCTTCCCTTTCTCCTGATTGCTTTCAGGATTTAACTCAATACGACCAGTTTCTCTGCCACGTTTAAACAAGCCAGTCTTCTCGTCTTCACAGTTGCAATTCTGCCTAAGTACATAGCCAATTTTTAAACTGAGGCTGGATCACTCAAGGCGCAAGCACGAAAGCGTCACGAATAAACAAGACAAGCTTTTCCTCTGCTTTCATATTCATATATTTTCAGTTGTAAACTCGGCCATACCATCCATACAGCCAACTCCTATTCCATCTCGTGCACAATCACCATCACCTGCCCATTCTCGCGCGTCTTCTCCAGCTCCATCCGTGTTCTCGACGAACGAGAATCAGGTAATAGTCGATTGTTAGGTTATCATTGTCTATCATACATTTCCCTTCAGCTCTTCGAATGTAATGTAGGTAATGGTTCTCGTTTTCAGGACGATCAGCCGTTATCCTCTCAAAATGGTCCTGTGATACCTCAACACATTTTGATAGCAGCTGTTTCAAATCGCCGGTCATTACTGACCCCGCGAGTGCGAGCGCATGCAGTGTTAACGATTGGCAAATTTTGTCTCATGGTACTGTTCTACTCGGATCTCTTTTGCGTAGCGCTTTGCTCTACATTCAAGTTGTTTAGGATGAGAGAATTGCTAAATCTACCATTCCCGTCTTCGTAAAACAACTGAAACTCAATTCGGACCATGTAATCAGGAATAATATTGCTCTAGTTGTCTGTGATCTATGTATACGGTAAGGTTTTTTTGTTCTTATCTGTGTTTTCTGAGTCTCTTGGGCTCCAAAACCTGAAATACGTGTTGATACTCTCAGTGCCAGGTCTTACCAGATTCTTATTTGAGCATAGTGAAGATTTTTCCTGAGAAGTACATCCAAAGCGTAGCCATATTGCCAAAAAAATGAGCAGAATTGGGTTGACAAATGGAAATCCGCTGTGAATGTACCCTCGCCTTCAAATGACCAGAAATTGTGCAATTGCAGAAATTGACGTGGCATTGGCACACGTGGCTAAATTCTCGATGAAAAGGTGACATCACGTGTGCTCAAAGATGTTCTTGAATCGATGCCACGTTAATGCCACGTCAATTTCTGCAATTGCACAATTTCTGGTTATTTGGTTTTCTCTTTGGGATGCTTTTCCTTCAAGGTTGGTGTCAGAGTCCGCGATCCGTCGCAGGTTTCGCTGATTTTCGCGATTTGCGCGAAACCTGCGACGGATCGCAAAAATTGCAAGTGTGTGAACATTTGAAACACTGAATATGAAACAAGTGGAATCATGAGCAGTCGTCATTCAGCCATCACTATCAAGCAGAAGTGGCGGCAGGATTGGAGAACACCTTGCAGTATTGATCGGGCACTTGTGATTTCCGTGACCCGTCGCGTGAATCGCGCAAATCGCGAAAATCAGCGAAACCTGCGACGGATCGCGGACTCTGACACCAGCCTAATTGTTCATCCTTTTAGAGAAAGATACGTATTGGTTAAAGACAGGCCCTGGGATTAGACCACTGAGTAATCTTTTCGGCGAGTAGGACAGAGCTGCTTGTGAGATTCTGATGCGCAGCTAACATGACTAGAGAACGGTGCCAGAGCCTGACTAATGCTCTCGATAAGTGATCATGAGTGCTGCTACTATCGCCCATCTGGTTGTGTATCGGCACTCTCCTACAGAATGCTCTCACGCGTATTCTTGTTCTCGTGGTGCTGCATGTTCCATCGTACCACACCAACTTTAGAAATTTTAAGCCTATACTTTTTTGTCTTTCTTGGTCTATTTGGCTTTCTTTTTCATGTCTAGTCCACCTCGCATCTTCACTTCATTATTGAACGCTCCTGGACACCAATTTCATCCACGGACATGCCTCTGAGTAAACTGATGTGTGCACTCCATTACAAAGGCATAAGCTAAAGGCCTCTGCTGCTTGCCCCTCATAAGCATCTAGCAACGAGATAACTAAATCTTTCTAGTGTTCTACGCGCCGTGTCGCTTTCCTTGGTATTTTTCTGGCCCAAGTCTTTTTGTTAAATGAATTGTTTTTTTGCTTTTTGATGAACTCTCCCGGGGCTTATCGCTACGCACACATAGCTGCGCGAATTGTTCAGGCTTACTGGCAAATAATTATTCCTGCAGAAAAGAAAAAACTTTTGCACTAGGAAAGCATGAACGAAAGCGGCTTGGCATGTGGAACACCAAAAGATATACGCAATGTACTGAAATCGAAATTGATCGATTGGAAGTCACCAACAGCGCGCCAAGTGCGCGCCAGTGCGTGTGTTGACGCCTTTCATACTGTCCACGCCATCAAGGCTCTTCGCCGGCGCAAAGTATGGAATGAATCTAAATCCCTACGCTCTATCCATGTTCTTTTCAGTCGTGAAAGGTGTTCCTTCTGCAGTTGCGGACTAACCTGCTTGTTCATGTTGCTCTGCTCATTTAATCCAATTCGCTTGAACATTTTTCAATTATTATTGAGTGTTTACCTTCTTGCACAGGTTGAAGCTGTTTTAATCTCCATCTGTTCATGGAGGTTTCTGTTTGAGAGTCGATCATTTGTTATGGGTGATTTCTTTTCAGATATACATCGATGGTAGATCGCTACTCTCCTATTGTTGCTGCTTGTCTTAAAGACACGTCGACATTGGTTCGTCAGCAAATTTTAGAGTCGCTTACCTCTCTAATCAAGGAGCAGTTCATAAGATGGGAAGGACAGGTATTTTTTTAGATTGAATGCCACATCCTGAAGCTATTGTATTTATTTCACTGTTTTTTTGCCTCAGATTATGTATCGCTTTGTTTCAACAATACTGGACGAGAACAAGTGTATCAAGGAATATACTAAATTCTGTTTGGTTGGTTTATACTTCCTGAAAAACGTTGGATCCGTGACTTTCTCCATCCTCTGAAGCGCTTTTGACCGAGCCAGTAGTGCTTGAGTGCGGGCGGCTGCAATACGCCCGCATTCAAGAAGCGCGCGTACTGGGCTGATGAAGCGTTTTCAGAACCGGCCGCAACAACGGAGCACTACCGACTCGGCCGCGCTCCCCGCTGCTCCAAGTGGTGAAGAAAGTCATGGGGCCAAAAACTTCTCAATTTAATCAAACACGATTTTCACTTTGATTCCAGCGAGATGTGTTGCTGCTTCAATTTCCGGAACTGTTTTCCAATCACTTTATTGAATGCCTCATGTATTTCAACAACGTGCCAGTGAGCTGTGAACGAGATGGTGAGGTCCACGCAATGAGGAGTGTGATTTTAAAATGGCTTTGTTTTGCAGCTGTGCAGGAAGTCGTCGATCCATCTCATCGTGTTTCTCTTCACGGTCCTGAGAACGAAGAGAACCGGATGACGATCTATAAATTCATGGTATTTTTTGTTTTAGTTGATATCATTCTAGTTACGCTGAATTAGATAATATTTGACTTTTGGATTAAGTATATCAGGAAATACAAAAATAAGTAAGCGAAAGTTTACTCACAGTCCGATGAACGGTTCCTTCAGGTGTCAGCAATAGTGTTATTATCCCGTAGACGCCAACTATTTTGCATTTTTTTCATCATACTGTTAACAGGCTGATTAATGCGTGTGTATGTCAGCAGAATCGTTCAGATCGCGCCACTGGTCGTGGTTGCATCGTCGCATCGGCAGTGAGCGAGCTTCTGAGCGCATCATTCAAATTGAGTAAAGTAGTGATACGGAGGCCTGTTCCTTGAACGTTCAACGCTGATCAATGCGCAACGTTCCATCCCTGACGAACCTTGTTTCCTTTCGCGGTTTTCAGTTTGCGATAATGAAATTCGAATGCAAACTTTTTAACGCCATTTTCTATGGCACAGCCAGAGCAAGTAAGTTGGAACTAGATATCCGCGTCCCTTATAGATTATTTTGGACTGCAAGAAGTTCACTGCTCCCACGGTCAAGTTCAAAAATCCCGCGTTCATTGGAGAATTGTCGCGTCGCGACACCGCGCAAGTGGCCGCATTACCAGACGACTCCGTTGACCGCTAGCTGATTAGTGCGACCGACGCTTCTATCTTTACAATAAAGAAAGAGCCCTTCTCTATTACCATCCTATTTGTCTCTCAATTTCAGCTAAGCACCTTCGACGACACGCGTAAATTCACTCTGATGGCGCATATTTGTACACAAATAATCTGTCCGGTAATGAATGGGAAGCTCAAGTTTGAGGACCCGTGCGTTTTCGCTCTGCTCAGGGACTCACTCACGGTACAGCGTATAATTTTTGCAAGTTAATGCGTTAATAAAATAATTTCGATGTCAGGTAATGTCTCTCAAGGAAATTAAATTGAACATGGATGTAGGGAAAGGTCCAGACGAAGAGGACGAGCCTCCAGCAATCGTTGTGGTAGGTCTGACTTTTCATAAAGCGTGACCTTCTGCATGTCAATTTTCTACTTTCATTTTTGCTTCAGGCAGCTGCTAAAGAAATGATTGCACAAACATTCCGAAAAGCAATGATTGAGTACGTAATGCCAGCGTTGCTGGATCTACGTGTGTTTCTCAACGAAAAGCGGTCTAGTTTACGAGGGCCACTGTACTGCGTTTTCCGGTGGGTTTTTCGGCGCTTGTACCAGATGCATATGCAGCGAATCCGTTGTCATGTTTTACTCAACCTTTCAGTGCTATTTGTCGTGAGCACAAGGAGCAAATAGACGCATTTTTGGATGGTGATCAGCAGCTGAAAGCCGAAGTCGAGTATGATATCCATAGATTTGAGGTAGTCAGAAAACTTTCTTGATGAAAAAAAATAAAAAGAATTTGGGATGTTCAGCTACGGGAGAAACGAGAACGAGCTGCTGCTAAGAAACGCGCTGAGGAAGCAGCTATAGAACGGCGACGTTCACGGCGCTCACTAGCCGTTGTAAACAGAGAACCAGCAGGGGAAGATGAAGAAACAACCCAACATCAGCACACAGACTCAGAACGTCGAAGCAGTCGTGACACTGGAGCAGCGCCAGGAACACCTGAGGCTTCCAAGTCTAGAAGTTTTGAGGACGTTCAAGTGGATATGTCCACTGAAGTCCGAATACCTGTGAACATTCAAGCACCACGTGATGAAGTCGTTGCGCATGTGGGTGAAGAGGGTGGTCCAACTATTGTGAGTGCTTACTTCTATATCAGTTGCTCATCTCGTTATATCTCACTCGCAATGTCCAGAAGGAAGAACCGATGGAGGCAGATTCAGCATCGGAGGAATTCCCGCATGAGGAACGTGCTGAACTTGTCCAGGAAGCTGTGGCAGAGGTCAGTTGTCTGGTCATGTTCTGGTTATGTACACGAAATCTTCTTTTCAGATTGTCTTAGCGAAAGACCCATACGAACATGCGACAGTTTCCTTGGTTTATTGTGATGGCAAACGTAAGAGACGTACTCGTAGTTTTGGCTCATTTTTTTCACCGATCATCTTTTTAAGGTGTCGAGGAAATGACTCCTGTTCGTCGTGTTGTTCAAGGCACCACTCAGAATCGTTCTTCCAACTAGTACTAGTGGTTCTACCGAAAATTCGGCGGCTTCTACTGAACTTCCGAAATCTTCCGACATGGAAGTTGATATAGTGCATCCTCAAATGGAAATTGAAATGGTTGAATCCGCACTTGAATGTGTGCAAACAGAGAAAGAAAATCAACATTCCGGTGAAGGTAATTTTTTACTGGACAGCACAGTGAAATTTTTCAATTGTTAAATGTCTAGAAGGATCACTTCGTCGTAGCATACGGCTTGCTTCCACTCCTTCGTCAACTTCGGCACCATCGCGAAGTTCTAGAAAGGTATGACATACGCGTTGCGTAAAGCCAGTGTTCCGCTCGTAATTCAATTCGTAATCTAAGTCTCGATGAATTTTCAGACCATGCGTAGTGCGTCAGACGAGAGTAGGGTGACATCACGCGCCGTGTCAACACCTAATAAACCCATAACTGATGTGAATTGTTGATATTTAAACCCATTTCTTGTTACTTCTTCAACAATCCGATTGCAGCTGACCTTCGCTGATCTCAATTTGTCCGCTATTCCGGGTGACGCTAGAAGCATCTCACGTAAATCAGGTGATTACTTGTGCTACAATTATTGATACTTTTCTTTAATTTTTTATCTGTTCTTGCGAGGCGGATACCAGCTATATCGTTGTGTTTAGCGTTTTTGAAGAGCGAGGGCGGGGTGCAGCAAGCCTCGACGAGGGGATGGGTACCCATCCCCTTTCCCCAAGGTTGGAGATACATCCCCAACCTTGGGGATGTGTCCCCTCACCCGACACTCAGCAAGAGACCGTTCAAGGGTTTCGCCATAGGACCCACCCTTTTTTGCTGGGTCCTATGACGCCACCGTCTGCCGGCAAGGGGTATATCCCCCTAGCCGAGATTAGGCTGAGTGTCGGGTGAGGGGATACATCCTCCAAGGTTGGGGATGATTCCCCAACCTGGGGGACATATCCCCTCACCCGTTGAGGGGATGTATCCCCAACCTTGGGATATATCCCCAACCTTGGGGACATACCCCCAACCTTGAGAGAGGGGATGGGTACCCGGCCCCTCGTTGGGGCTTGCTGCACCCGGCTTGGGTGTGGGTCGCTGGGACAACGCGACTACTTCGTTTCTCGTAGGCGAAGCTTTGGTCTTGCAACGGTTAGAGCGGACCTGTATTTCCGCAGCGAAAATAGTTTCGAACAGCGAAAAACGAAGTCTTGGGGTCTGTTGTCTGGTGGCGGAGCATCTGCTGCTGCCATGCTAATTAAACAAAACGTGCTAAAAAGAGCAACGCCTTCTAACAGCAAACAAACCAGAACATGTTAAGAACCAACATTCATCTAAAGCTTCGAAGAAACAACAAAACAACAAAACAAACAAAATAAGGCCCTATCGCAAGAGATGCGAGCATGCGACGATAACGCACGTAAGTAAAACCGCGTCAAACGATTGTTTTCTGTTAGAAAAGGGACTAAGCCTTGGCGGAGGAAGGGGAGACTCCAGAGTGAGTGATTTTCATCTTTTTCGTAGCTCCTGCCCACCCCGAGGCTTAGTCCTAGGGGAAGCCCGATATCTTGTGGTGCGCCACTTTTCTGGATGTGGAAAAAAGAAAAAAAAGAGGTAGGGCAGGAAATAGGTCAGTTCCTCTCAGAATACGTCACAGTTCTTGACATGTCTTAGTTTGCTAAGTGGAGAGCTTCAGTATATATGACAGGCTCTAACATGTTCTCTTTTGTCAATAGCAATTGCGTCAGCAGATGCCACCGCTGTCGGGTAACAGACCCAAGCCTTGTTCTGTCGTAGCGACCCATACTCTTTGAACAAATTTTTACGGTCAAATCTAACTTTTCGACCGTCGCGTAGGTCGAGTATGAAAAACTGTATTCTAGTAAGGGGAGGCATGCGGATTAAAACGCTCAACTTGTTTGCAACCACAGGTGGTTCTTCCTGTGTTAAAGTTTTGGAATTAATCCTAAAAGGGAGGGAAAACTCCGAGTTCTTGAGCAATCTTCGCTTTCTCTAGGGGAGGGGGAGGGGGAACTTCCTCCTGGAGAAAACGAAAATTTCCCTCCCTAGGCTCAGTCCTAGCTGCTAGCTAGGTAAGTACTACTTTTTATAATAGAAATTTTGTATTAGAACTTTATTATAACAACAAGTAGTTTTGTCATAAACGACAGGCACTCCTACACCATATAAAACAGAAGAACACTGTAGGAAAAAAGCTCGTAATAGCAGCTCGTAACTTCAAAGGACTCCTTGAGCCAAACTGGCATTAGATCAGACTACGCACCGCAATGCCCCCTCTTACCGGAATAGACCCCAGATGCGTATGGGCCGTGTGGTCGCATGGAAGAGCGATCGGGTGGTCACATAGAAAGAGCGATCGGGCGGTGCATCTTTCATGCAATCGCCCACGGCGCACGCGTGTGGTACGCGTCGCGGTTGTCATTTTGTCACTCTTTTGCTGCCTTGATTTTAATTTGCTCATCTATCCTTTCGACTCATCGACTCGCTCGTTCCGTTGAGCCTCTCATTTTTTATGCCAACTCGAATGTGTCTGTTACTGCCTATTTCATTGCGCTTCCTTTTGGCTTAGGGAACATTGCGAAATATATAATAATTTTGAAGAGTGGCTGGTTCCCATAGTATCAACATGCAACTTTACTTCGCTCCTCGAAGTTCTCTGTTAGTGCGTAGATAGCAACTCCATCGGAATGTTTTATGAATTCGATTTTAAGAACGAAATACCGTGTTGCCGTTTATGCGTGACATGGGGGCCTAATGCTATCCTTCACTCAAGGTGTGGGTGCCCTAAATACCTCTAAATTCACTTGTTTTTATTAACATAGTTTTTTTTACTCAAAGTTGCATTTTCTTAGTGCGGTTTTGGTTGGCAATGCAATGTAGATTTGATGGGTTCGACCTTTTCAACCTGCAGTAAGGATAGCACGCGGCTCCTGATCGGTGTGAAACAAAATCGGCGCTCATACCCCTGGGAGGAACATTCAAAGCAGTGCATTTAAAAGCCGCGCTTAGTCACATGGACTAGGAGCAGGGTCAACCCTATGTTGCTACAAGTAGCAACGGGGGGTCGTATTTTGATGAGTTTGTAGAGGGGGGGGTCGTACTTGCTTCGGTTGTAAGAAGTTGCATGTGATGAGTGGGGAGCGGCGGGGAGAAAATTTGCCGTTTCAGCGCGCGTATATACCCCCCTAGAAAATGAAGCGTGGGATTAAAGGTAGGAGGGGGTAAATTGGTGGAAATTTTGGGATTTTACCCCCCCCCCGCTCGACGGCATTTTTGGAGGAAAAAGTGGGCGGGGTTTTGATGGAAGATGGAGATGGTGGAGGTAGGGAAAAGGGGGTCGTATCAAATCCACCTTGGGGGAGGGGGGTCGTAAAAATTTTTCGAAAAGTAACAACGATAGGACAGACCCTAGTAGACTAGGAGGGATGGGAGGACCTCAGGAAGTTGATCATGTCCCCCCCCCCAGAATCCTTTCCTCTCCAAAAGGCTTGTTGCCAAGTTCTGTGGGTGTTCATTCACTTCAATGTTCACTCACTACATGAGCTCCGCTAAATCTTATATTGTATGTGCGTTTCAACTCAGAGAGAAGAAAATTAATAGGAGCATGCAGCAGTTTCACAGAACGCGACGTGAATTAGCGAATGAGTAGGGGAAAAAGAGTCAGGAACTGCAGTACATAAGACCCTAGTTTGTCTTACGGCCGACTAATTGTATAAAACGGAATATTATACGTTAACATTTTCAAGGAAAGTGAGCAAAAGATAAACTGGTAAAGAACTTGTGAACCTTGTGTCCATATAAGCTGAAATCACAGCAATATTCAGTATCAATGCATAGTGAAAATATTTCTAGAATAAAAATAATAAGGCGGCAGCTCGCAGGAAGCGAATGGAAACGGTGGAGAAACTTTGGTTAGTTTTGAAGACATGCGTTTAACAATGCAAAACATGCAAAGAAGGCAAAAGTACAACAAGCAAGTGACATGTAGTAATAGTTATGTTCACGCTCATCGCAATTAAGTCAACCGCTACGTTGCAAAAAGGAAGAAATAAATTAAGAAAGATGATGGCGAACGGAGAGAGACAGAGCGCCAACAAGGATGACACACGGCTAAAGCCGCGCCGCATGTCTCAAAGCGCGCCGCATGTCAGCGTTGGCGGCGTTTGCGGTCGTACGCTCGCACATTCCACACGGCCGTGAAGTATGATTCAGTGCTTACTCGCGCTATTCCATTTTTTTTTATTTGTTGATCTATTCCAGTGAGGAAAGGGGGAGAGGAGTTGCCTGCATGATGCAACAATTTGTTCCGCCTACAGAACTCTTTTTTTTTAATGAGAATGTGCTCCGGAGCTGATGTAAAAGCGGGAGTGAATTGTTTATGTTTCCGGGAGATTTCCTCCTGCGAGTCGCAGCTACTGTAGGCACCTCCACCTGAATTATCTCATCACATGCCCCCTCACCTTATTGAAATAGCCTCATTTCTCATAATTCATTTTGATCATTGGGTATGGGTTTTTGTGCATACTATCATGTTTGTTTCCAACATCTACTATAGCGAGTCATTAATTTTTGCTTTTTTCGTGACCAATACACGCATGTTATTGATTTTTGCTTTTACGTTTACATTAAATTTCATTTCTTTTACATTTTCGTACACGCATTTTGTCGACATTCCTTGATTACATCTTTGAATAACTTTTGTGCATGATCGTTGTGAAAATTCGGCACTATTGCATTATTACAACCCCAGTGGGGGCCGAGATGGGTCAAAAAATAATTTTCGCTGAAACTTTTGCTATGGGGGTTATCGAGGGTCCTGATCACGAATATGACATCCATTTTTTGGCGCCAGCTGGCGCCACACTGATTATCACCAAATTCGCTGTAAACTTCTGATAGGGGTTATTTGGGGCCCTGATCACGAATATGACACTCGTTTTTGACATTCGTGCTGTTTAACGCATATTTTCTGCTTTTCTAAGCTTTCTCACCTATAGCGCCTAGGACTAAGCTTAGGGGAGGGGAGTGAAACTCCGGAGTGGGTAAACCACGCACCGTGTGGCAAAAGTTGGAGTGTGTTAGACCACAGGGGAGTGGCCTACTCACTTTGGAGCCCTCCACTATTCAAAGGCTTAGTCCTGATTGCGATCTAATTAGTGCGAGGGCGCAGACGAGCAGGAAATAGGCGCCGAATAGCGCTAACAACAAAAACGAATGTCATATTCGTAATCAGGACCCCAAATAACCCCTATACAGAAGTTTACAGCGAATTTAGTGGGAATCAGTCGTGGCGCCACCTGGCGCCAAATGGCGCCAAATTGGCGCCAGCGCCAAAAATGAATATCATATTCGTGATCAGGGCCCTCGATAACCCCCATAGCCGAAATTTCAGCGAAAATTATTTTTTGACCCATCTCACCCCTACTGGGGTTGTAATAGTGCAATAGTGCTGAAAATTCTTTTCTACAATCCAGGTTCGTACGGACCATCATTGAGTCAGTGGTTCGATGAACGTGTGACCGCTTATCTGCGTCAAAACTTACCATCATTAGGTTCTTCAAGCTCCTGTTATGATCTACAT